CATTTGAGATTCGCCTCTGAACAGCAATGTTCGCCTCGCGCTCACACATCTCGCAGGTGAGAAACATGTGGGGTCAGACGAGCTCAGCAGAAATCGCCTTCAAAGGTTCGTGCGCCGCATGCACGAAAGGGAACGCATGATCCTCGCCTGCCTAGCCTCTCCAAAAGGCGTTGTAGCATTGCACCCGCAGCACGCCGCATGGCCAGAAGACCTGCGGCAAGCACAGCGCCCGTGCTGATGCAACGCCTCTGCGCCGCAAGCAAGCTTGCATTCATTTGCAATTTGCACTTCCTGCCTGCCAGGTACCCTCACTGCTTTGATGCAGAGGGGGGTAGTGCATAGTGCATGCACACAGAGCTACTCGGGAACGTAACGAAGGGGTTCATACGCCTTTCCCCTTTGGACCAAGCATTTCCGAATCAGCCTGTACTAAAAAGAGTGAAGTCCGTGCTCGCTGGTTGTTAGGACTACTTCGAACCATGCGTAAGCAGCGATGTCGATGTTTGAACGTGACATGTGGCTTTGTTTTGTCATGCACGTTTTACCTTCTTTTTCGCATGTCCTGGCATGACACTATTGCTTCTGTAGCATGGGTTCGAATCAGCATACGCTTTTGAAACACACGCCCTCCACTGCCTTTATGTTAACGCACTGCACGCATTCGCAAGCTTCGCGCTAGCTATCATCTGACATGCAGTGTCAAACCTCGCACTAGCTATCAACAGACAAGCATTGTCACACTGTTTCACCCAGTGCAATTTCGCAGGGGTTCATAGGCTTTCCCCTTTGGACCAAGCATTTCCCGAGCAGACTGTGCCAAAAAGAGAGAAGTCCGTGTTTGCTGGCTGTTAGGATTAGCATAAGAAGCAATGTTTGAGCTGGTTGGAGCTGTCTTAGTCAGCAAGCCAAATCAGCCGAACAGGGTCTGCAGAGTTGTCATTACAAATTTTGCTACGTTTCAAGATTTCTCACCTTTTTTCCGTTTTTGGTCCCTCCTGAATTACGGAACGTGTAAATGAATACCACAAGCATCAGTGGCAACAGTATTTCCAAAGAAAGTTTCACATAACCCACTTGGCCTCGGCCGCAATGGACCTGAGCTTAGTCGACTCCAAAAATACATCATGCAACAACCTTCCCCTTTGAAACGAGCCTGAGGCGCATGCTGCTCGGCACGTTGTGAGAGCTCCGCCGCCTGGCCAGTTCGATGCCATAGTCCTTGGGCGAGCGCCTCGGTTTGTTCAATGCAGAACAATCCTGCAGACACTTTGCTTCTACGTAGACATTGCAATGTGATTAAATGCATGCTGACAGCCAGCTAGGTCCGGAGTTTCGACAGCGGTTCCGCAATTGAGCCACATTCTCCATGGACGTTGTGACTCTGTGAGGGGCCTACTTTCCGCCAAATGCTGTGCAGAGGTGCGACGTGAAGTTGTTTGACAATGTCGTTGCCAATGTCAGCTTAGATGGCCGGACTTGCTGTTGACCTACTTGTTGCGCCCTTTACGATTGTTTCGAATCCGCTGAGTAATCGTGGTATTGACGTGCGCGGTCACGCACGTGACGAGAACAGACGGTGGTCATGACACAGCTTTTCGGGGATAGTAAATGTTTGCTTGGTTTGCTCTTAAGAGGCGATTGACGCCCAAAATGTCTTGAATGTACCCTGTGATGGATTGCATGTAGCTTGCTTCTCGATTAGTGCCAATGACAGTTATAGAACAAGTATCTGCATGTTTGATCATGTTTGCGGGTAGGAATTAAACAAGCTTGCATGATGTTGACGTTGTTTACGGTCATGTTGAACGCTCATTGCGATGGGTTTAAGCACGGACACAAGCCAAAGGCGTCAAGTTTGAACAATGTGTAGACCTTCATGTGGACGTACAACTTTTCGCGGATTCGCTTTAAGAGCAAACTTTCCAGGCATCGCAACCTCATTTGCACGACGGCGTTTGGGTTTTCCAGCTCTGTTTGCGTAAGCGTTGTTCGTAACTCAGCATCCAAAAGCAGTCACGCGCCGGTGCAATTGGACGGCACTTCCCCTTCAAAACGAGTTGCGTCGCACCCCAATAAATATGTGGTCGTGGATTTGCTTGAACAAAATGCACCCCCCTGGCTCATGGCCTTAAGTTGAAATGCTCCATGAAAGAAAGCAGGGAGGGCCCCAGACGCTGAGACCTGACTTTCATCAACACAGGAAGCTGCAGGTGGGCTTGATTTAAGGGGGAAAAGGGATTCTTGGCCTTATACTGCCCACCATAGTGCTGAATGGCTCAGTGGCTATCGAACGGAGAGACTGAAGGGCGCCGCATGCGACATGTATCTTGATATCTAAATAGGTCAGTGGATAGGATCAGAAGCGACAGCTGAGGCAAACACAGCCATTCGCAAGGATGGCCTTGCTGTGTGCCAGGAGCCTATAGAGTTATAGAGCAGCAGTATGCCCAGGAGAGTACCAATATGCTACGTCGAACTAATCCATCAAGATTTTCAAGTAAACCTTTAGCTCGCAGCTTTGCCAAGCCTGGGCCACGGACTCCAGCAGCATGCTCCAAATCCTTGATGCTTGGACAATGTTCGACTTTTTGTTGCAAAAAGTGTTTGTTTACATCTGCGGGTCCTTTTCATGCTGCAATGCCGTCCTTGGCCATTTATGCAAACAACACCGTTTAGAATAGAATCTAGTGATGACTGCGGTAATTGCTTGGCAAACTGTGCAGGTTCCATTGAGCCTGTAGGGGGGATGTTGTAAGACTTTCAGTGACCCGGCTTGACTTTCTGTAATTCTGACTTTGTCGGGCAGCCTCTTGAATTCGGCTGGATTCAAATGCTTAACGCATTGCTGGCAGGGCAAGTCGGAAGCACAATCGCAGAAACGTAGATCCCATCCCATGTCCTGCTCATCCGCATTGGGTTCTGAGAGGAAGTGCCGCAACCAAAAACCCTGCCTTCCAGGTTAGGAGACTGGAGATATTTCTCGGTGCAAAAGGACGGAAGCAGGCGTCACAGAAGTCTCAGCCGAGTAAGTCATGTTCAACACGCCTAAAGCACGTGCAGCAATCGCTTACATGCTTGCGCTGGACGTAGGCAGGACAAGGGCCAATCCTAGAACGACAAAGAGGTGAGAGAATGTGCTTCGAAGCAAGTGAGTCGCGCAAGTTGGAGCCGCACGGATCCAAAAACGAGCCACCAATCATCCATCGGACGACACTTTTGGAACGGTTTGTACCATGTCACCACTTCTTTACCAGATCCTCGGTTCCTTGATTTGGCTACCATTTGCCTTCTGCGATGTATGAGTGATCTCCCGCTAGCACCCTCTAATGCATAGAGTATAGATACCAAGATTCGCCTCACTCAAAGACTATGTGACTTTGGAATTTTGCTGGAGAGAGTGTATTTTGCTTAAGCACGCAGTTTTAGGCGCCCTGCAGGGTGCATTACATGCAGCGTCCTTCATTGGTTTTGATGTGGTGAAATTGACACATTGCACATGGCAGTGTGGTAACGCAGATCATGACTACTGCTTCAGTAAGAACATTGTGTCATGATGGTTGCGAATCCATGGCGGTTGTTTGATCACATAGCAGCATGGCATCAAAAAGCAACCATGGCTCTCGGCTATCTATGGCATACTTGTTGAGGCCAAAGACAACACTATGCAACCCACTGGACCACTTTTGCAAACGTTGCCGAGATTCGGACGGTGAAAAACTCCGAAGCTCTTTTCATGACAAATTTCAGGCATTTGGGGCTGGGACCTTGAACTGTGGCGGGGCAACGCATTTTGCTTCGCCTCACCGGGCATCCCAAGCCCCCTGGCAGATTTTCCGAATCATGTGGCGCTAATCTTGGGCCTTAGGACAACAGGTTTGTTAGGCGCCTGCTTTGCCTCAGAGTTTGACCCCAAGCCAGTGGCTAGGTCATCTGTTCAAGATTGTAAAAGCAAGTCAAAGAGGCATGCTGTAAGCGTGGGGTCTGAAGTCTGACATGTACAATATTTCCGGCCTCGGAACGGAATGCAAGCGCAACATTCTCAAACTTTGCGGGATGGAACCTTCAAAGATCTCCTAGTACTCCGAGCAACGGCCTGCAAGGGCATACCATCTCGGAATCAGATCTGGCTATGCGAAGCGTTGGAATTCAGTGGTGCTAAACTGAACCGAAAGGGTTTTGGTGCAGGAAGCCGCTGAGAATGCTGCTTCAAAGAATCGTCGCCTGAACGTATCCTTGCTCGTGCGCTACAGCCCAGCAGACGGTAGCCGAGCCTTCCTGGCATGTTTGTCCATCACCTTGTAATGTGAGAGCAGCTCATTGCGTGATCTCAGGTTCGGCACATCATGGTTGACGCAGGAAAGACAATGCGGCAGGCGCAACACCACTTAAGAAGTCCTGGCAAACCTGAACAGCTGTGCTGCAACATGGGCGGCACGACCTGCATGATGCAATCCTTTCGCCCTTCAATGCCCTTCATAAATGTCGATTTGGTTGGCCTGCAGCTTTGGCTCAAGTTAGCTGCAGCTCAAACATTTCTTTTCGTATGCTTCGTCCCCACTTCATGTATGTTATTTGTTCTTGTTGAGAGGAACGAGTGAAGTGGCAGGCTGCCCTGGCTGCGCTCCCCCAGTATGGCGTCAAGTCCATCGATGCCCTGCTTTTGACGCACGGCCATGCAGACGCAATTTTGGGCATGGATGACCTGCGAGACCTGCAGGTGTTTTGCTCGTTTTTTTGTTTCTTTTCGGTACGCGCCACAGGTGTGCAAACTATGTATCACTTTAAACAATATCCCATGTGTGGCAGGTAACAGAGAAGGTTCTTGACGATGAGGGGCAGCATATTGGATATCGTCTGGCCGATGGAGCGCGGGACTTAAACTAGTCCTGCGTGTTTGAATGCAGTAAAGAATGCTCAATCAAGGATCTAGGTCTGGGCAAGGAAAGAGGAAGAGGCGGTGTGACTCATGGCATGATTCCTCGCTGGGTCCTATTTATTCCCTGCCTTTGTTGTGCATGGGCTTGTGGCGTCATATTGCTGAAGCAGAGTCCAAGTGCAATTGTTGCCTGTCTGCAGCATGCATTTTCTAGGTGAATGGGCTGCTATGAGTGCTCAAGTATTTCTATGTGGTGACACAGTTGGAAGCTCATAGATGAAATTGTTGATGGGCGGCCGGCACTGATTATGGCAGGGTTGACTGTGTGTTAGCAGCGTAATGATCTCCAGGTCACGTGAGAAAGGCATGATTAACATGTAGTGTTGCACTATGGAAAGTACCTTTGCAAGGCAGAGCGATATGAAGTGCTGGCTTTTGCAAGCAGAGTTTCTGTCACTGGATGTTGAGCCATGCTGAACATGCTAGTTTGAGAACAGAACCGAAACTGATCAAACATCAATCTGTGAACATCGTTTCTTCTTGGGCTTGCAGAGGTTTCAAAAGCCGCAGTGTGCTGTAAATTCTGCGATATGTGAGCTGTTTCCGATTTATTTGCCCGCAGGGATGCAGCAATGCAGAATGGGCATAAGAAGAGCAAAGTGACTTGCAACACAGACATGAGGAAGGCCAGGCAGGAGTCGTGAAGATGCAAGCAACAAAAAGTGCGGCGTTGATAGCCCCCATTCTTTGAACGTTTACTGCGACTTTCTGCGTATCGGGGGTGGCAACCTTGAGGAATAAATTGCGAACGCCCCTCTTCCAAAGATTGAGGGGGGTTGATGTTCCGAAGGGGTTTCGGGATTGGAGGTGAAATCCACAAAGCAGCAACAATGCACAAAGAACAGGACTGCCACGGGCAGGGCAGCAAAATGGCAAGAGGCGTTGAAACACCAGGATGCGAATTGCCACACGGAACATGCTAGGGGTGGAGGCAAGAGATCCGGGGACAGATTAGGAACTCAAAACGAGGGTGTGTTGACGCGGATGAAGTATAAGGATTGGGATGCGGGGTGCCTGATAGATCTCTAATATGCAAGGATGCCTGTGACACGCAGAGTTTCCGATGTTTTCGCCTGGCCATTACCTGAAGCTATGCCATTTAGAAGCTGATTTAGGTCATTTAGTGTAGGCGAGATCAGGTGATGGCCAGAGAGCCCTGAAGATGTGGCGAGGTATGCGAGGTAAACTCTCTGTGTATTCTGCTCCAGGCAAGACTGGCAGCTTTCCACCTCGGAGATTTCCCACAATGGGCACACTTGCATCAAGATCCCCTGAGAGGCGACTTCTACAAAGGGTGCTCCTTTAGCCTGAGCAATGACTATCTTAAAATGGCAGTGAGACCTCTGGAAAGTCCCCGTGTGCTTATGCTGGCATGAGACTGATGTCCCTCTTGCCTGCAGGGAGCTTTCAGCCGATGTTGTCCTAGTCTTCAGCTCACTCTTCGGGCATGCAGCGATGTGGCTCTAGTCATCTTTCTTCCCCCCGGCACCCCCCAGAAACCCCAAAGTGCAAACATCGTCCTCTGCTCGTTCGCAACCCAAGCAATAGAAGTCTTGTCCCCGACCGACTACCGGACGGGCTCGCCTAGTGCTTGATGAAGAGATCCATGCGCCTGCCATTGAGGAAGTAGCGGCACCCATAACTGGGAACCATTGATCATTGCCGTTGGTCATTATCGTCGGCCTAATCACAGTCGTGGAGCCGGAAGGAGCGGGTGATGGATGGCACACCAAGGTCTACGGTGCAAAGGAATTGCATTCGGTGTTACACACGAGCACGCATGTTGACGAGCAGCTCATCGCAAGCTTCGGGGCAAGCACAGTATGCTTTCCAGCCCTCACACACGTAGTCACGCACAAAACAGGCACAAACCTAAGCAAACGCAGCTGTGTGAGTGCCCACATAAAGCTCATCCGGAGGGCCTGGCCAGTGCTTGCCCTGCAGATGCGCAAGAACAACTCCATGGCCAGCAACATCCAGTGAGAGGAGATGTTGGCCTTGGGTGCACTGTGCATCCTCGAAATGTCGCAGGCAAACGTGTTCGACAGCATTTTTTTGCACAGGGGTGAAATCTGAGTCGTGGTGAGACACGGCCAATGAGTCCCATCTTCGCCCTTCGCAGGCTCTTATCCTCACAAATCCTAACAACTTTTCTCGAAGCTTCTGGCAAAAGACCGCCCATAGCAAAAGAGCAAAAGATTGCGCTCTCAAGCTTTTCGCTTTGACTCGCAAGGCTGGACCGATGCAGATCATCTCCAACAAGATGACTCTGGACCGAGTGCTTGACTTGATCCTCCCTAGTGTTTGTTTCAACACTGACTGCAAAACGAGCTCTGAAAACAAGGTCCGGGAAGTTTTTCCGTATTTGCACGAACTTCCTGACTTGGTGCGCCCGGGCGTCCTGCGGCGCCGCATTGCGTACACGGAATTTCATGAAGCCGTGCCCTCAAGGGCTCTGCTACCGCTGTTTCTCCTTTTTTGGAAAGGTGGGAAGATTGCCGCGTGTGCATTGGCTGCTTGATTTTCATTCCATATTCAGTGAGCAAGGTCCCTCATGACAACGCTGCTATCGATATCGAGGGTTTACCCATCAAGTTGTTTCCCGCCGCTGGCTGCAATTATTCATGATTATGGCCCTTGAATTGGCATTGAACGAGGCAATGGTGTAGGCATCTTGACCGTTTGTGGATTGCCGGAAGCATGCTTATGTGAGGTTTGGCATGGAGGCACTTACGTGTCTCTGGGATTTGCTTTCGGTGCCGAAGGCAACTCAGGCTATCCCCTGGCCAGGCTCTCAACATGCCTTAATGCCTTGACTCATTGCTTCTACATGGTAGAACCAAGCAGAGCTGGAGCAAGCTGGAGCACGAGGTATATATTTCAGATATCAAAGAGCTCCCACCAGAGACCGCGGTTTGGTTGGAAGCTGCAGCGCAAAGCGGTATTGACGTTTTCATGGTGGACGCGCTCTCGAGAACCCCGCACCCCACGCATATGTCCTTCGACGAAGCGCTGGAGCTGGTTCGAAGACTGCGACCGCGAAGGACGCCACTTCTGTTCACTCCCTGCCAGCTTCATTGGGCTGTGCTTTCCGTGGGCATTTTTCGTGGCATCAGGATGAAGCATGACATCATCACATGATATCCAGCTTATTTCGAGGAGCTTCTTTGTTGGGATGGACTCCTGTGCAATGGGGGATCATGATGAGGCATCCTGGCTGCGCATAATCCGTCTCCTAAGTAGGAGTGCTTCCCATTGAAGGTTCAGGAAATGTTTACCCACCTTCCAACCTCTTGAGCTGCATCATCAAATCCTGAGCACATGAGAGCAGTGCGATAGGTCAACGAAGAGCTCGCTGCACTGAAGACAGTTGAAGGCCGCAGCATGCGCTATCGTTGGGACATGTGGTTGCCGTCTTGTCCATGCTACAGCCAAGATTAAGTACCATCCCAGACGCCTGCCTTTACTTCTCAACCTCCATCCAAAGCCTTGCATCGCTTAATTCCAAATCTTCAGCAACTTAAATCGTCCCCAACAAAAAGTGACTGTCCCCTCCACAACCCAGTGAGCGCCAAGCCCGAAACTTCTGGTTACGCTTCCGTTAGACTGTTTGGATGGAGTCCCTTACAAACCATTACGTATGTTGGGGCGCTGGACAGGTCTGGACATTCAACTTGCACATGATGGGCTGCATGTGTCAGACCTTCTGACCATGCCCCCCGCTGCGACGCTTGTCCAGCATTCTTGGGTTTGCATTGTCAGGGAGGAATTGAAGACACCTTGCCAGTCACACTCGCTTTTTAGAGATCATCAGGTGCTTAGGCATTTGGCTCATAGTACAAGCAGAGAAAGCAATTCTTTCTGAAACAGATCGAGGCGAATTTGCAGAGCAGCCAGCATGGAATGTTTCGTCTGTAGATGGGGACACGTGCGCTTGGAGGTTAGACTCTTCCCTTCCAAGACTTGATAGGAGAGTTTGGCTTCATCTTCAGGCAATTGGTTTTGAGCTCTTTTGAGAAGAGGACAACATATGAGCCGATTTTTCAATATCCGATGCATGCCAAACTCTGCAGAGACCACTGAGTTCCAAGGAACAAACGGCCTGGCACCATCGTGGAATCCGCGGCAAAGTTTCCCCGGATGTGAGTGTACTGGCCACAAATGGATGAACAGGTGCGTGTTTGCTGCAGAGCTGGTACTTCATCAGAGTCTGATGTCAGTCATTGGTCTCTGGCCTCATGAGAGGGAACACGCATTGGCATTGACACCTCTCATGTCATGAGCTCTGTCTTTGACATGTAGGGCAACTGCACGGAACCACGCAAAGGCAGCACTCCCGGATGTATGGCCCGTCTGGTGGTGTGAGGTTCCATCATCACTTCAGAGGATCTTTTGCTACAATGTTTCCATGAATTCCAGCTTAGATGCCCGAGTTAGAGTTAAGCAAGGTGAGAATCTGGCATGCTTGTTTCCGTGTCAGACACACCGAGGGTGCCAGCTATTTGTTGCATCAAGTTCAGCTGGCTAGACTACTAGACGCGGCAGGTTTGGGAAGTGAAGGCAGACTTTTAAAGAGATGCGTGTGATTCCCCGACTGCGCAACTCGGGCTCAGAACTCACAGTGGGTGAGTGAGCATAGAATGTACATGACAAAAGTACAATGTGACGTTGGAGTTGACTCTATGTTATTTCATTATCCACGAGTTGGCAAGAGTATTTTTCATGCCTTTCGGGCGGTTGAAACTTGGGGAAGTTGTGATGTTGCGTCTGACGAGCATGATGGAAGCTTGAGTCAGGTGGTGCTCGCCTCAGCCCGGTGTGTGATGTGGGTGATTGACCTCTTACCGTGAAGAGCACAGAAAGTGATTGTTGCTGTGTGCAGTGCCGGCGTCGATAGAGCTACGTAGGGCTTGACTTGAACTCAAGTGGCTTGCGTTGCCTTTGTTCTTGAGTTGTTTTGCCCTTGAAGGTGTGCCATGGTATGGCGCATGAGGAGCTGCTGCAGTATGTGTGTGCTCATTCTGGCCCTGACGGATGAAACAACTAGCCAGCGGGCTGCGACATGCAGTGTCCTCTGCACTTTTTGCGCCAGGCCTCGGAGCCATTAACCTTTGGTTTAGAGCCCGCGACTGAGAGTTCGCTGATACTCTCCATGCAGCGGCACGTACATTCAGGAAACCTCCCTACACTACTCGCCTGAACGGACAGGCGCGACCTCACGTACGCTGGGCACCTCACACCAGCCGCCCAGCTCGTGGCGTCCTGACAGTGGCAGGGACTTCTGAACCGTGCATTTTGTACGTTGCATGCAGCCAGTTTTAACATCTCTGTGCTCTTGTTCCTCCCATGCATGTTGCATCTCAGTGTGAGCTCCACCATATGCCGCAGTTTTGAATCTCTGCTAGGCATTGGCATCACGTGCTAATGCCTTAATCATGGCCTACTCGATTCCTCATCTTTTTTGGCATAAGTCCTGCAAAATCCTGGCACCCCCATGTTCCTTTCGGCCGAGGTGCCCTTGGTGAAGCGAACTTTTGCATCTGCCGATGAGACGCATGTGCGTGTCTGGGGGCCAGTGCTACAGCCATGCTTTCTGAAAAAATCGAGACCACTGGCTTTGTCAGTACTGGCATGCCGGCCAGGCCGGGGACATCGCCAAGTTTCCGTTTCCGTCAAACCGGCGGTCACGAGCCTGGCTATGGGCACATCTCGAAATCATTCCTATGCAATCCTTGATAACGACCCCCCCCTATTTCCTTGCAGTATACCCTCATGTATCCCAAGGGTATTGAGGGCAGAGCAGGTAAGAGGGCCTGCGGAGGCTGCCTGATTCTTGATTCTTTAAGCGCATCGCGGAGGAAGTAGTTGATGATGATCATCCTAGCCTGTCCTTTTGCCACACAGGTGCCTTGCGACTATCCTATCCTCTTTCGAACCCCTGTACTTTGCAGCATATGTACACCCGAAAAACCTTATCAGGAGTTTAGATTCTCCAGCAGCAGCTCCGTGTTTGTACTGGCTGCTGCGGCTCAGCTCGTAGTTCGCTGCCGAAGAGCCGGGTGCGTACAACAGGCGGGCTACTTTCAGCTTCAGCGTATCGCGTAGGGTACATGGAGACTAAATCAGAGTGGCTTTGGGGGTTAGCAGGTTCCCGAACCATGCTCCCAGTGCTGTGATTCCCGGCCTCATCTTCCCGAGTGTGATTACGGATCCGGAAAGTTGTTCTTGCCCACACCTTTCAGCTTAGCAACGCCAAGCCTTTTGGAGCTCCCCGTGTTGGCCACAGCCAAAGCGTACCCTAGTTGAGTTTAGCTGGAAGTTTCCAGAACTGATTCGCTCCTGCACATCCAAACTACCATTTCATTAAAAATCCTTGTTATAGGGCGCAAAAAAATGTTCTGATGTTTTTGAAATGTCGCGTAGGTTTGCTTGATGCAGGCAACGCAGCCATGGGAAAGGAGGCCACGGGCTCAGAAGCCAGAAGGTCACCTCAAGATGAGGGGTCACTTTTTTGGATCCCTTGAATCAGGATGGTAGCCGATGTTTTTCGTGGTTCTCAGATTTAAGTGGAAAGCTCTGGTAGCCGTGGAAGGGCCGTACAAATATAATTACTTGTTTGCAACAGAAGCACCCTGCTGAGGATGAGCGTGAGGAGCGTGACCGCGACCGCAAGGAGAAGAAGGAGACGAAGAAGTATCATCATTTTGCGCCATCTTGCGTCTAATGATGAGCACGGACCCGACCCCTAGTGTGGAAGTTTTCCTACACGAGAACCTCTCTCTCTCTCTCCCATTGACTAGGGATGGAAAGTGTTGAAAAATGGGAGGGGTGAGTAGTGCAGGAGGATTGTCTAGTAGCTGCCCACGCGTGCAAGCACACTTTTCAGCTCAAAGTGGAACACCTGAGGTGCACAACTGCTGTTGCGTCTTCTGCAATGACTATTTTTATTACTGCTTCGGCCGCCAGTTTCGCAGCAGGAGAAGAAGAAGCGACGCTCCGCTTCCTCCGAGTCCGCCGAGCGCAGCCGCGAGCCTCTCTCTCGGGTAGTGATCAACCCTGAGACCTGAAGTTAACATCTGCAATTTGCATGCAAATCATAGGGTATGGTGTCAAACGACAACCCAAGTTTCAAGGAGAACAAGCAAAAACACAAAGTGGTTGACACCCCAAGAGCATGAGTACTAATCTCGGAAGTGAAGCCTCGGCAGTGCCGTCTGGCAGTGCTTTGGTGTGCTCTGAACCCTTGGCAAGGCGCAGGACCAACAAGTCGCAGAAATCCCTTCACCCTAAACCCTACACCCCCGGAGATAAGCTCTGTGGCCGTCCAGGAAGAGCCATTTGATGGCTCAAGCATTACCCCGTTTATCCGACATCCATAAGCTTGATGTAGATAGGCGGGGCCAGGGCTTCTTGAATGTGTTCGAAGGTTGTCTGTCCCGAAGGTATAGCCCCATCAGGAAGTTTCAGCGTATGGTGTTCGTTTGAAGGGAGGAGCAGGGCACAACGCCTTGCAGCATTTCCACGCCTGCTATCACTGAACGAAGCTGCGTCAAGTGCGCCTGGAATGGTCGAAACGTTGTAGCCGTCCTATTAGGCTTTGAGCGTCAGCTGATCTCTTCACCACCAATAAAGCCTGTGCGGGCAGGTGAAGGCGCAGGCAAGCAACCCCCCGCTGCTGACATTTTGGGGAATGGGGTCAAGATCGGCTTAAGTTGATTCCTGGATTGCGAAATTGAGCACAAGAGGTTCTGGAGGATAGGGCTTTAAAGGCAGCTGGACGAATGTTGCATGGTCTTTGCCTTCAGGCCTTGACTTGTGCAGGCTTGACCGAACCCTCAGTGCATTTGGCTCCAGGCCACTTGCTCAAGCTTGGATGGCAGCTCTCCAAGAAAAAGCCGCATGCCTCCATCGGCAGACGCAGCCTGAAGCGCCCGAGCAACAAGCACAACTCATGCATGCTCAAAGCCAGGCACAGACGAGCACATGCAACTTGCTAGCTCTTTGAAGGGAAACTCCTGAACTGCATTTCACGACGTTCAAAATGATTGTGCTGCAGCTGATGGTAGCAGCTTCAGCTGCTTGACTCAGGCCTGGCGACTTGACATGATCTGACATGGTATTTGCACTTGCTCAGCTTAGCTTTTTGCCGATGCCAAGGTCTGGTACAGTTCAGAGCTTGATACATGCCCTGAAGGACTGCTGATGATGACTGACTGGATAACAACTCTCGGGCTTGACAGGCAGGAGACCACTTGTCATGAACAGGGCCAAAGAAGTCAAGAACCAGAAGGAGAGATGTTTTCGAGCTTTGCGCTAGACCTGTGCGCAGCCATAACGCGATCTTCATGTGTGTCACTTAGACATACGCTTCATGCCGGAAGCAAGACTGCTGAGAACAAGAGACTTGTGCCGAAGAGGTCATACTGCAGTGATTGCCTCGAAGGAGATGTGTACCTGTAATGCTTGAATCCCTGCAGGTATCTCCTTTGCTGCAATGTCCAGTGCCTCGGATCTAGCATAGTGCCAGTGCTTAGCTGACGCGTGTTTCGTCATGCTTTTGTTGCACGGCTTGATGCTGCCCAAGTTCAAGCATTGAGAGCGACATGCCCGCTTGGCGAGAAGTCTTCGTGTAAATGAGGCATGAGCAGACTTCTGTCAATGGCGAGATGAAGGTCGTGCAGGGCCTGGCTTGCAGTGAATGCTGAGTCGTCTTTGCTTCACGTCTGTGCACTTGGCAAATTAAGATGGATCACAGTCCTCAGCTGGAGCTCAGGTGCAGCTCACCAGTGATGTCCTGGAGACACGACTGGCTCACCCCGTCCACCTCCTGACAGAGCAGGACTCCTTCGACGTCACTGCCACATGGCACTGAGCTATTGGGATGAGCGGTTTTTAGTTCGGTCATAGGAGATCTCGTGCAGGAGGTTTCCTGACTCCAAAACGATAGCACGCTCACCAGAAACGATAACTTCAACACATACCCAAAGGCGAATTTTCCAACGACGATTCGCCCGAACAGCAAGATGAAACCGTACATCACTTGTTCAGTGATTGGAAGCCTGCAAGATGTGTGTTTGATTCTCAGAGGTACCCGTGACCTCTGAATGTTTTTGTTCCCGGCGAGCTTTTCAGTTCACGATTTTTCTTGCAAAAGCCTTCAAAGAGCGCGTTATGCAGGTCTCGCCGCGTGCAGGGGCCATGGGTGAGTGGACAAGGCAGCTGCAAATGACGCCCCGGCAGCACGATTTCAGGCACCGTGCGCTCTCTTCTGATCGCTGAGAGCGTTAGTGGCCATTTGGTGTGTTTTTCGTGTGTCGTTTCTGGACTTTGTGTGCTGTTAGCTTGGTATAACTTTGCATGACTGGACATGATGCACCTTGAGAACAGAGATGGCGCAGACATGCTTTGAAGGATCAACCTTACAGCTGGCTGTCTTTTGTCATGCTCGAATCCTCTTGACTGTCTCACCTCCTGTTGCTGGGTCAGTGATGCGAGTTCGTGCAGGGATCGCATCCAGCTACCGCGGCTGCTGCGCTATCCACTGCCACCAGATGCTCTCCCAGATGAGCCCGAAGAAAAGCAGTTTAGCTGAAGATCTGGGATCAAATAAGGGTCAGGAGCTGCATTTCCACTCTCGTTTGAACAATTCGGCTCCGTGTTCAGCTCAATCTGGAGGCGTTGAAGGGATGCATAAGCCTGGTGCCAACCCCAAAATCTTAGAGCGTGGCCCCTTATTCCCGCCATGGCAGCTGAGCCTTGCATGGCGTGAGCTTCTTGCCTTTGGCACGATGTGCCAGTCTGGACAGTGCGCAAAGTGCTGGTTTCTAGGGACACGAGGGGCGTTCTAATATGGGAGCCTGAACATTTCCAAAAAAATCTTCGTAGTTCATCTTTTATGCAATTCAGCGTGTTCTAATTTTCTTAGGCCCTGCAAGCCTAGATAGTTTGACAGTAAGCGATTACACAGCATTGTAGCTATTCTGAGAAGACTTTTGCCCAACTCTAGTTGTTCAGGGCCACCTTCTGGCTGTGGGGTTTGTCGGGAATATGGGAATATGGTGTTGGAAAGGCTGGTACAAGAAAGTGTTTGTGTCATATGGGGGTAATGGAAAAGAACATGGAAACCACCATGGTGGTGATGGTGATGAAAGACAAGCATAACTACTGGAATAAACAAACACCCCACTCCTTGAATTTGATTCCGCAACCAGTCCATTGGCGAGATTTGGTTGAAACGTCCCTGAGAAGCTTTGTAGCTTTGCCTTGCTGACAGTGAACAAGGCGCCGGGCAACCTTGCTGCGTGTTTTCCAGGCAGGGAGCAAGCTTCTTCGCGCCGTGAACCCTCACGGATTTTACACCTGTGCGGCTGTCTGATCGTGAAGATGTTGTTTGAAAAGAGAGGTGACAGCTTTGGTATTGCATGAGAAGCTGTGCAATAGCAGAAGAAAATTTTGTGTGCATGACCAGCAGGATTTTGTTCTGGATCTCCACAGAGGGATGCACATGACGCAAATTAGCCGCTCGGCCTCAAAAAAGGAACTACATAGTAGTTGACTAGTGGGTAGGACGACACTCCTGTATACTTGCTAGTATAGCCTACGCCAGGGGTTAACAGCGTGTATACTGGCATGATTGATGCTTGGAAGCTGCTTAATGCACAAGGTTGCGCACCTGAGGCATTCTGGTCGTAAAAACTTACAAGTTTTGCTTTCACGAGTGCGCTGGCGCAGTATGTGCCAAAAGTTGCTCCATAGCTAGGATCAACGCAGTTCATTGGTAACGGGACCGTACTGTACATACCGCTTCTCGTGCCAAGCTTGCCACATAGCTCTGCAGGCTCGAGTCAGGAGCCACGGCAGCATCAAGCATTTTGACAGGTTTTTTTGCACCGATTCCTTTCAGGTCCTGCAACAAATTTTCAGAGGCTTCTTGTCACACCTTGAGCGGGCTTGTCTGTAGGACAAGCGCGCATCAACTATCTTGGCTGAGGCTGTAGCTGCACAGCCTTCAGTCCTGTCTCAGCGCATCTCACTCCAGCATTGCCTGTTATCAACACCAAGGAATACTCGGATATCCATTGCCAGATTCTAGAAAATCTGGAAACTCTAAAGAGTCTCGGCTGCGATCTGGAGTTCAGACCTGATGCCAGTGCAGCCTGAAGAGAGTTCCTTCATGATTGCGGTTTAGCAGGAATCAGCATTCTGAAATTGCCACTCACGCCCTCAGCTGGCTGTTGCCAAAAGGTCTTGGGCCCTCACGTGTATGCCAAGCAACCTTCTTTCAGGATTGATCAGGGTAGTGGCTGCATCATCGAGTTCCCGCTCAGCGCTGTCTCCAAAGTGCTTCTTGGCCTTGAGATTGCTGCGACATCATTCTTTTTTGTGGTGTGGTGCGCAGCATGTGCACATGAAGAAGAATTCTCAAGTACAGCCACATAACGAAGGGAGTATGGAAGTGTTTTGATGGGAGAAACCATCTGAGATACCGCATCGTCAAGAATGACGATCGATGGTTTTCTGCAGGGTCGCTTACTGGGCCCACTCCGATGCCGCCTTTACCGCTTTCCAATGCGGAGACACGCTCACACTTAGACTGGATTGAGGGTTTGAATTGCCTTTTACTTCCAGTCGGCAGCGTCTCTTACTTCTCTTTCGCCTGGTGCATTGGGAGGTTGCTTTCTGCCCATATCCCCTTCAGCCTGTTTTGCTTCTTTGTGTATGATCTCTCATTTTCTTTTTGCTGCGCAGTCCAAGGAGCACATCGTAGTTGTGGAGTTCATGAAGCGCAAGCTGGCATTTGTCTTCGGTGACATGGTTACTGCGTCCACCTAGAAATGTTCTAGAGGTGAAGGGATTGTTCCAGGGTTAGCAGATGGATGATTGTAGGGATCGGAAGACCGCAAAATTCTTGCAGAGATCGTGCACGAGAGTTTGGTGATGGCAGGTTGTGAACCCCGAGCCAGAGATCCCGAATCTAATGATGAGGATCCGCAAATGACGCGTTTCTTGGGGGTGACAAGGGTTAGGGTAGACTGCACAACAATGCCTACAGATGCCAAGAAAGGCACCTCAAACTTTTTTTATCGCAGCTCTTCATGGCTGGGCATGCCGGAGTCCCACTCTCCAAACCCTAAACCCCAAACCTTTAAAACTAGTTTCCATTTTCTTTTCCATTGTCCCAATATCACCCCAATATAACCCGGTTTACGTTTTGTTTTCCATTATCCCTATAGATTGAGGCTGCTTCACAGCGCTTCTTGATGTGTATGGAGCTACTGATACGGCGGGCGCAGGCACTGCTTCCAGTCTTCGCAGATGCAAATATGTTATAGTAATTTGTAGTATATTAAAGTAAATCATAGTATACAATAGGGATTATAGGGTTGTATATGGATAATGGAAAAGAAAATGGAAACTAATACATTCTGCGGGCATTCATGAGAATCATCCTGGGTTCCTAGACATTGCGCAGGTGTAGGAATTTTATTGAAGCGTGTTTACTTGTGTATTGAGTTTTTGGTGGAAGTGGAAGTGGCGTAGTAGCTAAGCATAATGGACGAGTTTATCCCTGGCGGTTTCAGGAGAGCTCTGACGTCCGCCCGCCGAAGCCTCAGATATCTCTTAGTCACAGTCCGCCTGAAGCACCACGTCTGGTGTGGATGATGTTTAGTTTGCAGGCAGTCTTGAACCTGCATGTGTCGCCAGAAAGGTACTGGTATGTGATCTCGTGCACGCATCGCCGCATCGTTTTCTGAGCGTGAACCGCTTTTCGCATCTAGGTGGTTCTGTAGCAGACGTGTAGGGTGCTGGAATTTTCGCAGCTGAGCTCCCCGAGTGAACGTCGCGGCACAGACAAGAGCTGCGCTAGCCCATGCGTGAAATATGAATTTCTGAAAAGCAACCGCTACATATCCTCAAGGGGGCTTCCCATAATCTTCTTATACTCCCACGCTCCAGGGTACCAGTTTTCTGGGGAACCGGTGCTGTTGAGCTATGCCTTCTTGAGTCCCTGCCTAACATTAATCCCAAATCCAGAAGAACAGCTTCTGTGCCGAGGCCTGGGCGGAAACCTGCTGCTTGCTTGAACTTATGCTGCAGGTGTGGACGAGAACACTTATTATTTCTTTAGACTTAAATCTTTGGCAGAAACCAGCATCTGGCAGCAATGTCCAGCAAGGCTTGTAGAAGTACAAAGTGCAGTACCAAGTTGGCTACGCAGGTTGCATTGAAAAAGAAATCCTTCTCCAGTGATAACAAATATTGGTTGCTCCATTTGAGACGACTGGCCAGAAGCGACACACTGAGGACAGTCTGATCCCAATGTTTTCCGGGCTCGGCACTTAGAATCCATTATTCCTGCACTCCAACCAGCAGCATCCTGAAAAGGATCAACTCATCACTTATACACATGTTTTTAAGTTGCGACACAATGCACAGGGGATCCGTGCACAGGAGATTCCTGTAAACCCGCATTATTGAGGCCAGAAAACATTAGCAAATGCTCGGTCACCGAGGACCCAGGGCCATAAAAAGCCGGGCGAGCGATTTGCCCAGCCTCTGCCTCGCCAGATGCATGCGGAGGAGGTAAGGGCTTGGAGGGTACGGGCTTCTCTCAACTTCGGATGCTTCTTTGTGGGTAGTATGGGACCGTATAGGATTTCTGTTTATATGCACTCTATGGAGTATATAGGGAGACCTTGTGTTTTGAGACATGCACACACACAGGGTCGCATAAATGTGTAATTTCTGGAGATTATGTATCGAACGTAGGGAAGAATTTACAGGTTTAGGGCAGGAATTTTGGTTGAGATTCTGTTTGGGATTGTTGTAATAGTGTACTAAGTTTGGCAAAGGCTTGTTGGGTGTAGCCATATCCTTGCGCCCAAGTGCTTCTGCCGGGTTTTGTATTGTATTCTATTCTACTGTATTTCAGAAGAGTTATGCTCTTTCCATTGTTTGGGTATTTGGGTGGTGCTTCATGATTGTTCCTGCGACTTGCACTCAGTTTGTATTTGTTTTTCCGCTGGTACTCGACCTTATCCTTGCAACTCTCACCAGCCCTCCGCTGTGTGCTTTGGCCTGTCCCCTCGTGACGAGTATGGCTTCTACTAGCAGGCTTGCTTTTCTCGTCATTTTGTTTTCATTTTTCGCTAGAATGCGGTGGTGTCGTGTCCCATGTCGTCTTTCAGAACAACCCGGGGCCTTCATGGTTTGTCATTGATCTTGTTGGTGCATCCGCTCTTGCTACAAAGCACATAACTTATCACGCTTTTTTCCCTTGTCAGCTCGGCAGTATTGGGTCACGTAGTGTTGGCGGATGCTACTCCTCAGCTGTCTCTACCTCTCCTTGCTTGTTAGTTGTGGTACGTGTTTGAAGCCTGGGTACTGCACAAACGGACATTCCTTGATTTCAGCTCAAAAGCTTGAAGGCCTGAACTTGATTTAGTATTTGAGGTTTAGGTTTGTGGGTTTAGGGTGGGGGGCTGCTTCCCCTGTATGAGGAAAGCCTGCTGGCTCTGTGCGGCTGCGAAAGTGCCTCTGAGACGGCCACAAAAATGTGATCGTCAAGCTTGGCACAACCTGTGGCAGAACATGCGGCATACGGGAGGTAGGCATAGGCAGACCTTCAAGTCCTGCTAGCTTGTGATCTTACCACAATGTTTTTTCGCAATACTGTAGATTCAGATACTGCCCACATCTCACAATTTGTACGAAGTTGGTATGGCTGGCGTCAGTGCCAACGTGTGTCGCTTGCATCTGCCACCGGTGGCCGAAATGCAGGGGCCAATGGGCTTCCCTGTGTGCTGAGCAGAAAAAATCAACCAGTGCGAATCGCTTACTTAGAAGCTTGCCATGCTGAGTCTCTTGTTGATGCATTTTTCTGGATGTTCCTTTTGACTTTTCCTGTACGAAAGAACTCAAAGCTCTTCCATCAACGTCTACAGATTGTCATGCTCCGTTCAGATGGAATGACCGGGAGCCCAACCTAAACCCAAACCAAGATGCTTTTGGCCCGATAGAACTGGCCCCACTTTTTGTTGTCAAAAAGATCCAACTAAGACTCGTTGAGAAGCAAGTTGTGCAAAAGGTTCAACTTGAGTGCACATATGGCCCGGGACAATCCTTGCAGGAACCCTGCTACTGGAGCTTGAGATTTTTGAGCACCCCCCTAACATCTAGGACTTTAAGGACTCTAGGAACTTGCTTAGCTTCGTTGCAGCCATGTCTGCCTCGGAGCCTTTGGCCTTCCCGTTGGTGATGGGACTGGCTGTGCTGCTGCTGGTCGGATATCTGCTGAGGCGCAAGACCAGGGGTCCCTTTGTTGGGGTCTGTGCACTATGGATCCACCAATGACACACTCCATTCCCCTAGCATTGAGAACGAGAAGTTTAGCAGAAACAAGTCACATCCACTACAAGAATCTGGAGCCCTTGAAGTTAACTCTGCAGTGAAGGACCCTCTTCGTGTCGTTCAACCTTCCGGGCCCTGTGGGCGTGCTGCTCAGCGGCTGGCTCTGTGCGAAGCTGGGCCTGATGCAGACCGCAACCTGCCCTCAATTTGGCATCGCTGTTTTCTGGAAACCTTTTCTGTGTGACGGAAGAGGCACCTGCATAATTTCTATACATATGTCTAATATGCAAACGACATGTTTGTTGTGGTCTGCGGTCAGGAAATCCTTGGAGGACGTGACCACTTCCAGGAGTGGGAGCGCACCTTGCACCTGAATTTGTGCCTTCGGTGCGTGGCGTATCTAGTCTGCGAAAGCTCACCAGTATTCCTGAGAATCATAGCTATAATTCAATACTGGCCATAAGAACATAACCGACAGAGAGCCATGTTAACACTCCCCACGCCTTGAAAAGTAGGAGTGCGCCTTCTTCCTTGTCCTCCTCACAGCGGGCTTCGAGATCAGCCACAACATTCCACAAACCAAGGAGGTGCCCTTTCTGGGGAGTAGGTGGCATGCAGCTACATGCTGAAACGTAGAGAGGGTTGGGAGTTTTGGATTGCAGCAGCCAGGGCTGTCACTGAAAAAAACCTGTCGCACTCAGGCAGGTAAGGAGGTCTCAGGGTGGCCCTCAGTGTTGATATTCATCCGTCCATTTGCAAGTACGTAACAGTGCACTGGCATTACAACTCTGCAAGTGTTCTTGCAAGGTGATCCTCGGATTCGTCCCCTTCTTTTGCGAGTTTGTCCTGGCCTAAGTACCCACAGTGTGTCATGGATGCCAACTTTTTACTCCTCCATTTTGTCAATGCTGGCTATGCTGCGCTACCTGTGGGCATGTTTGGAGAAGTCGTCCAACAAGCAGCGCGCAATTTCGATTCTATCACTTGATGAGGACGTGAGAGAAGGATCCGGTCGATGTTGATCCTTCATATTCTCTCATACGGAATGATGTGATGCAGGAGGGGGCAAGGGCGCATTGATTTGATAACTGAGGTTGAGGGGGCATCGGAATTCCTATCAGAACACATGCCACGCTGCAGGAAGGCATCTACTCATAGGTCCGCTCATGGACTGGTTGCGTTACTTGAAAGGGTTTAGTGCCTTGGACTTGCTGCGATGAACGCTATTCCTGGTGGTTGTGTCATACCTCCGCCCTTCTTTTGCGGTGCAATTGCGCGGTGGTTCATGCTGCAAATACCATCCTACTGGTACCTGGTGCTTGCATCAAATCTCCCTCCTCCTTCTTGCAGTTGCATGGTCATGGTGCCCAAAATTTACTGTCTGGTTGCTCTGATGATTTGGTTAGCTTTCGTTGGCATCAGCTTGCACCTCAAATGTGTAGCTATAAATTTAGGCCAGACCCCCTGCATTAGATTGAACTGCGGTCGCACCAAGATTGGCATTGCTGTTTGGGCGGCCCATGTGGAGGAGCGGTGTTTTAATGGCCCATGCCTTGATGCGGCTGAATTATGGGAGATAGAAACAACCAGCCTGGTGGCCTGGCGCTCGCAAGACTTGCTAATGCTGGCGTAGTATTAGCGCTGCGTGGATTCTGTACTGAGAGATGAGGTGATGAGGATTTGAAGAATGTGTTAGGGCAGTTCAGGTGTGTAAGTCTGTCAGGAGCTATCGGGCATCGAAGCCTCCGTGACAGGCTACGAGAGGGGCCGGTTTACTGCAGCTACAATTCTGCACGAAAGGGTTACTGTGATAGTGTGAAGTAATTGCTCGGAAGTACAGACCACAGAACATATCCAATTTTGCTGTGAATCCAAATGCCAGCCAGACCCTGAAGATGTGGAAATTTTCAGGCTCCGGCGGAATTTGCAGCACAAATCTTGTTTGGGAGGCTAGGTCCCAGAACAAGAGAAAATCTCAGCTGGCCACGAAACTTTTGCGAAACTCAACAAGGAAAGTTGTTCGAATGTCTAGCCTTCTGTTTTCAAAGCATTTGCTGAAAAAGCAGAACGACTTGCACACAAGCTTTTCTGAATGTTCCCCACGCCACTGTTTATGGCATGCTTTCCAGCCGCAGCAATGCTATTGCAGTTGTGGCAATTTGTGGCGGTCGTCATCACCACAGCCCCCGCCGCCGCCACCGCCACCGCCACCACCACCACTGATGATTAATGATCTAATCCAAGCATGGATGAGGCAGGATTCGAGCTAGAACATCTTGAGCTGAGGGGGTTACAGGCAGGTCGAAGTGAATTGCTGAATACTGAAAGTCGTCCGGAATCAACTGCGAAGTAAGTACTTGACACAGGAAGCTCCATCAACTCGGATTACGGATGACATTAAAATTTTTGGTGCAGCACTGACCACAGCAGTGTTGTGAATAATCACCCGAGATCTCGAACCCCGTGTTACCCGAAGGCTCAAAGCCGAAACGTTCAATCCCTAAGACTGATGGCTAGCTGCGCAGGTGTTGTTCTTTGTGGCTTGGCGGACGGGATCGTTATCCCAAAGATGATTGAGCTTATGGATCAGCAGCTTCGAAAAGGACAAGGTCAGGGACTTGCAGCCTTAGAAGGGGTTTGAAGGCCTTGTTGCTGTGATGCTTTTGGCGATGTGTCTTCGAAATCCTTTTTTAATATCCCCCGGTTTTCGGGGTTTCCAGTGGTTGAGGGTTGAGGGTTGTAATCTTTGAGAGGCTAAGTCAAGGCTAAATTTGTTGTGCATGTGGAACATGCTCTCAGTAGTAGTATCTTGAGACATTGTGATGATGGGCACACCTGCGACCATCAGGCTTTCTGTTGTCACGATTACAGCTGATACAATGAGCTTACCACCATGATTCGCATAGGGTGAAGGTTTTTGGGTTGAAGGTTTCACGTGAGGCTAAGTGGCTTCAAGGCTGTAGGGTTCAGTGCAGTACTCATTGTTAGAGGCAGCTTGACAGCACAAATACTGCGGATACTGTATAATCCCTATATATTCTCTAGTTTCCATTTCATTTTCCATTTTCTATTCTACTCCATTTGATTCTCCATTATTGGGGTATAACCTCAATATAACCCTAATCCCTAAACCTTAATCCCTGTATATACTATAGTAGTTTCCATTCTCTTTTCCATTATCCCAGTATTACCCCAATAAAACCTTAATATAACCCCAATATACTATAGTTGTAATTATTTTCGGGCCTGGCGGCCCGGCCTGGCCGCTGCCCAGCGGGCGTTCTTGCTGCCTGGGATGGTTTGGGGGGTTTGGAAGGTCTTGTTCTCTCTAACTTGATTGAAAATGACCCAAAACGGGGTCCCAATTATGCTGATGATGCTCCTGGACGGGGGCACGCTCGCCTCGTACTGTACATCCGCACAACTGGGACCCCGTTTTGGCTGTATTAGACCTGGAGGGGTCAAAAACCCAAGAAAAGCCATCATAAACGGCTTTGAAATTCTGCGCCTGCTGACCATGTTTTCGGCCCACATGTACCTTCCTTCTTTGCAATCTGGAAGCAACATTTTAATATAATTACTTGACAGGCTAACGTGGTGCTAAGTCGTAGCGTGGGAGCAACAAAATTGCTGGATATCCAAAAATCTCTGCAAGAAGCGCAGTTTCGAGAGGTTGGCCTTGCTAGCACACGCAAAGCCTTTCGCATGCTTGTCATGCAGTGCGGTTTTGACCGGGGTGTCTATGGAGAAGAGAATTGGGAGCACAATGTGGTAGATGCTCATGCTGTTGTGCTACTTTCTGTCTGGTGTTAGAAGTTATTGAAAATGAGATTGGCATTTTGATTTTGATTGTGGATCCTCCACGCTGCTCATGATTGTTCAGGTGGCGACGATAGTCGTTGGCCGCTCCACCTTGGTACAGCTTCGAGCCAAAAAAAGCTGACGGGCATGAGGATGAAACAGACCGGAACCCTATCGGAAGCTTCAATGCTGCCACATGCTGGCATCTTACCGATGGGCCTTTTTAAGCATAAGTCCAAGTGCCGGGCAAAAGGTAGGAGCCGAGGCTCAAACGACCAGTCCAGCCACTTTGGAACCATAGGCCGAAAACTATGCCCACTATGATTTTCACAGCTTTCCTTGTACTTCTGGATTTGGGAGGTGCAGGCGCGGGGGCCGGGTTGATTTTCCGTGGGTTGTCCCTAACAGCAGTGAAGACAAGGATGATTTTGCTTCGATTGACATGCGGCAGCGTCTCATTACGCTGCTCGAGGAAGTCACAAGTGGAATGTCTTCCATGGAGGAGAAGAAGTTCGCCTTGCGAAAGCTGGCAAGCGATCCAAAGACACTGCTGGATGATCATGTTGTCTTGGCTGCCATCGTTCCCAAAAAGGGGCGAAAGGTCTTGTATATTTGCCCAGAGGAGCAGCATCCAGTTAGAGTGGAAGTGGCTCTCGTCTACTATTCAGCAGCATGGCAGCTCACGCAGATGCCCGATGTGTTTGGGCAGAACCAAACGGGCAAGTTACAGATCCGGTACAGCGCCCTTTTAATTTGGAATGAGATCTGTGTGATTTGTAGGAAGGGAGCTGTGCCGCGCTGGATCATCATGGCATGGTTGTTGCTTCGACGCGGGCGGCAGCAGAGACTCTAGAAGCCCATCCAGATCTTGAGTTTCTCCTTTTCAACGAGGAGTTCCTCTCGGAAGGGGATGCTTGTCAAAAGAATTTAAAAGTTATGATCAAAAAGCAGTTGAATTATGCCCAACAACAAATTAAATCATAATAAAAGAATCATTCCATTGGCCAAGTGTGGACGTTAGGGAGAGTTATGTGCATTACTTTGTGTGCAGATGGCGGGGAGTTGCGCTCCCTCCAACCCCCCCCCCTCCGCTTTTTTCAAGCCATCCACGCTTGCAATAAGAAAGAAGCATCATATCATCACCATGTTTGCACTGGGGGAAGGTCGGTGTGTCCCCAACCCCACCACCTTTTTCTTTGTAAGTTCATCCATGCTTGCAATAAAGAAAAAGGCATCATGTCGTCATCATGTTTGCAATGAGGGAAGGCTGTGTGGATCATCTTGTTCGCAAATGGGAAGACACCTGCCATTGTCCACATTTTTCACAATACACGAGGATCGGAGGGTCCAACAGAAACGACAGGCGACGACAGTCACGAAGATCGCATCCCCAACCCCCGCAGTCATTGTAACTGTTGACACTTTTTCAAATTCCATGACAGTTACGAGAACGCGACCCAGACCACCACGATCCTTGTGACCATTGGCACTTTTCAAACTCCAAGAGGATCCGAAGGTCCAAAAGCGACGACAACTACGATGATCGCGACCTTGACCCTGCAATCCGTGTGACCGCAGGCACTTTTCAAACTCCAAAAGGCTGCGAGGGTCCAAAATCGAGAGTTGCGACCATGATCCTTGTGACCGTTGACACTTTCCGAACCCCAAAAGGTTCCGAGGGTCCAGAAGCGATGACAGTCACGATGATCGCGACCTTTGCGCCCCACGATCCTTGTGATTGTTGACACTTTCAAGCTCCAAGATGATCCGAGGGTCCAAAAGCTACGACAGTTTTCTTCGGGGACAATCTTTGGGAAGATGTCGCCGGGGTTCCCCCTGCGCTCGCCGTGCCAGGGCGGCGTCGGCGAATTTATACCACAATTAAAGCCTCACAGATATACACAAAAAGGGCAGTCTTGGCCAGTCAGTTTTGTGTTACAAGTTCGTTACCACCATGAAGGTCCATACTGAACAGTACATGTGTTCCAGTAATTTTTGTTGCTTTTTGAGATTATCACTCGTACCATCAGGCTCAACCTGGGCCCTGTATCAGG